AATGCACACTGTCTATTCAAATGAGTTGCACTACTCTTAATGAATTCATCTCCATTAATACTCAGTTATTTCTTACTGTGGGCCTCAGTCTTGGAGGTATGATATGGCTGTATTCATCTGATAAGGAAAATGCAGGGAGTCCTGTAGGAAAATCCTCAAGGAAAAGAAGGGGTAGGTATATTGCCTGAGCACAGAGAGTAAGTCAGCGATAAAGCAAGATGTTTGTCATTGTGGAGAATGTGGTCACAAAAGCAGATAAGGTCTGTTGAAAGGATCTTCCATGATTAGACAGAAAAGAAACTTCCTGAGGACTGCCCCATATGAATTACTTTCTTCTGAACATGTATTAAAAAAGYCCTTTTAGCTTCTTACTGGGCGACACTGAATTTTCTGCCAAGAGCTTCTATCTTAAAAGTCTTGATGTTCTGTTATTAACATATTACTTATTTWTGCATTGCATGTTGTTTTATTTTACCAGATGATTGGTTCAGRTGTAAAAAATCTGAGTTTATTTAATGAAAAAGTGGTGTGAGTTGTCATATAACTTTTGTGCCTTCTGTGTTTGGTGTCACTATCTGCCAATTCCCACACCTTCTAATGTTTTCTTCTGGTAACTCACTTTTTAGCCGGTCCTGAAGAGCAGCAGTGGTCAAGACACAGAGGTTGAAACAACTCTTCATCCCTCTATTTAATATTGACAAGAATTTGGTGCGAGCTCCCAGTAAGGGTGGATAAATCTTAGAGGTGGGGATGGGGAACAAAGAGCAATTGTAGCAATTATTTCCATCTAAAGGGGAGCAGAAAAAAAACAGAAAAGCCCAGTTTTAGGCTTTCTTCCAACACCAAGTAGTAAAACTAAAACTGTGCTATTTCTGTTGAGTTCACCATCTATGGAAAGCCCTTGTAAGGTGCTATAATCAAGAAATAATGGCTAGAGCTGCACTAGTCTTTTAGTTTTGATCAGGAGTGTATTTTTTAAGCAAGCGTTATCATCGTTACCGTTCCTATTTACCATGCTTTCGCTCACATCACAGAACAGTGAATATRTGTCACCACTGATGTCCACTCCTTGGGATGAAATCAGAGCCAGACTAAAGCAGAGCTCTTTAGGATTTGTACAGCATAGGTGCCAGATTCTTACCACCAGATGTCTCAATGTATGGATCTGTTCCAGTTGGTTTGAAGTGATGGTTGCTGTGGACATGGCCAGTCTAACCCAGGGAGCCTTCAAAAGCGCTGCCATCATTGTGTCAGGGACCAAAGTTGTGTCTMAGGCCCTGCCATATTTGGTCYGYTGTTGTGCACATCAACAAGAGAATGAAGAAAAGTCARTGMAGAAAACCTTATTGTTTAACTGGTGGGAATTTGACCCTTAAGRAAAACAATGKATTTGGTCAATCGATRGGAACTTGACCTGTGAAAGAASAAYRATATACARTGGAGYTRTTGATAGCAYAGAGGTGGTATCGTGAGATGTTAYGGCCTCATMTCCCRCTCTGGCCAAGCATGAGTTGTCATCATAATGGGAAAATTTCCACTGCAAGAGGAGGAGTTGGTGGTTGTGGGGTGAGGGGGTGAAAAGGACAAGACACATGCCATTTTGATCCAGGGGACACCCTGAAGGTGCAGTGCCTGCCTGCCCCTCCTGCCTGAGCACCATGGTCCATCTCCTTCTCCTGCTCAGCAGCTTTTCAAGGAACATATTCCTTGGTACATGSTCAGTATGTATTATTTGCTACTACGATGAATAAAAATACATCTGCTTTGCAGATCACAGTTTGCAATCACAGTTGCACTTCAAGTTTTTTGTTTTTTTTTTTGTGCATGGGCATCCTCCAGAACCCTAACATTAATGGTGATGAGGATGGGATGCCCAGAGCACAAAAACTGACTCAAAAAACTGGCAAGGCTTGGGCACTGGAGAGCAYGGTCGCACCAAGAGAGGCTGTTCCATGGGTGTGTGAAACAAGAACAGGGCTTGGTCAGTGAAGCACGGGGCTGCACCAGAGGAGTGAAGCATGTAGCTGTACTGAGAGACACTGTTCCATGTGTGTGTGCAGCACAYGGGAGGTCAAGATTTAAGTCCAGGTATCCAGCTATGTGTGGGAACTTAGTAATGTTTTTCTGTGTTCAAAGTGTAATCAGTGCCATGCCCTTGTTGTTGCATGGTGTAGATACTGTAATCATAGGTCAAGATTCCAGACTCCATTAGGAAGRACTCTTAGTCCTTTGTGTTTTTGGTGCTGCTGGATGATACCAGTAGAGGAGTTACCACCCTCAGTATTTTGGTTTTCATTATCACCTTCCTGTGTGAGTGCATCAGTAAAGATATTTCATGAAAAGGAGCCTCAGGCCATGGCTCCGCAGGTGGAGCAACTGGGTGGACACAGGGTATTGTGGGACAAGATAGAAACTTGTACAAGTATTGGCCCCAAACCATGGGAGGCTAAAGAGCCAATGGGAGTGTTAAAATATTGGGGAGAGTTTGTGCAAATTCCTCAAGTACACTCTAAAGAGTGGCTTAGTCGTGCATAGCTGAATGGCTGAATGTCTATTATATTCATACAAAGTTGCAGTTGATAAGAACACAGAACTTGAAAAACAAACAAGACAAGCACATGGAATGGCTGAGGACTGTGACACTGCAATCTGAGATCTCAGTGAGTTAGGCGTGGAAGTAAGGTTAAGTCATAAAATAGTTTTAGTGCTATTAAATATTGGTCCTCTGTCAAATGGTTATAGTTCAAGTACAACTCAAGCTTAAGTTATAAGTTAAGTTAGGTGTAAGTTAAGTGTTGTTCCTTTATTGCATTTTTAAGTTTGAAGTATAAATTAAAGTACTGTTGAGTGCTGTTAAGCTTTTAAGACATATTCCTTTTTATCCTTGTCTCACTGTCCTTTTGTCACACACACACACAGACAGTTCCTGGTTCATTTCTGGTCTKCTTGTCTGGATTTTATTTGGCTTTGTTGTTGATTGTTTTTCCTTGGTGTGCCTTAACTATTCTGTAAGTGCTAGAGTGAATGTTGTTAAGAAACTCTGTTATGCTKTCATAATATTAAATCTAGTTTTTGCTGATGATTTTTAAAGCAATCTCAGACTCTTATTCATAACCTTGGATGCAGGAGATTCAGAGAAATTCTTTGTGTCAAGCATTCATTTAAAGCAGAATGCATTTAAAACTATTGCACAGAATACTGATTTGCCAGCCTGGACTACTCAGGGACATATTATTAATGTTAGTATTAAATTAATATGGTATTAAATATCCCACAGAAAATGATTGGTCGGGGTCTGATCATCTGTGTAATACCTTGTGAGATTGTATATAGAGAATGAAGGAGGACGAGATGAAAGCAGTGATTTTTATTGGGGGTGCTGACACTCTGATACAAAATCCTCGTCTGTTACTATGAGAAACAGACTGATTAAGACTGCTCCCCCAGCATATGAAAGTGTAATAATGAACCTTTTGATTAATGAAAGAGGAAATCCTCTGGGTGAGATGATTGAAAAAATACAGCAGGTGACCTTGGGGAGTGGAACCCCTGGGGAAAGGCTGGGAACTGAAAAACCCTACCAACTGGGCTTATGACACCACATGATGGCTACATGCCAGAATTAAGATTCCAGGAAGAGATTCAGAAATCCAAGCAAATACTAATGATTTGTTAAGCAAGTATTTTTTGTATTTTGCTTTTACCCCTCCTTTAGTAGCAAGTGGATTTGTGGTGTTAAATTCTGTATACCCACAGCACAGGAGTGGCCATAAAAGTCACTAATTTTTATGGTTTTTTTCCAATCAAATTCTAACACATAATTTGCATTTCAGCCTTCTAGAGTGGAGATTTCATTTTATGAATCTTCAAGTATATGCTGCAAGTTCTGAAGTATGATGGAGAAAAATATGAGTTTATTTGCARTAGTGTTGGAGAACTAYRCTAAGCAGAACCTACAAAGTGTAGGCTCATCTGTGCCATCTTTTGGGAAGAGCTGCTGGTGAGCTCCCCACAGAGCTGCCCTCGTGCTTCAATGTGAACAGAGCTAGCTAATTTCCCTCAAAGGAAAACTGGAGAGCAAGGTAGTCACTACMTGGGAGATTTTCAAGGAGCTAAGCACAATGTGAACATATCCACTGAGGTCCTGATGGGATGTAGTTCATCTGCTGAAAGATATGATATCGTGCTGGGGTATTGCAGGGTACAAAGCAGAATACCCAGCTCTTGCTGCAGTCTTCTGGAGTTGTTAGTGCTTCTGATGTAAATGACCAAGTTTCATCAGGTCTGAAAATGCTGACCTGTGCTGTTTTCATAGCCTTAATCATAGGACTATCAACAAAGAAAATAACGCTTAGAACAGGACAAGAAACCTAAAAAACATTTTCCATAGCTTGATATAACTTTTTTATAAAATTACTTTACTTATAATCATCACTTTATGTCATTTTCATACTTTTTCTATTTTTGTGATTTGTAATATTACACTGAACTGCCTTCACTGTTGATTTAAAACAAAACTCAGTTCATATTTATCACCATTGTTGAATAAAACTATTGTTTCTGGAAATTATCTTCCCTCTTCTTCACAGTGGATGCCAATGTTGAAACAACACTCCCTATTGTCCCTACTGACTGTGCTTTGCTTATCATTGCGAGATGGTTTTGGCTCATATGGGCTGGATGCCTTTGGATAAAACGAAAATCCTCCTAAGTAAAAGCCTCTTTGTGTAGAGAAAGGGTGAGAAAAGCAGAGAAGTTTCCAGGTGTATATTAGTTTATTTTTTTAAATTGACTTTACCTTTGTTTCAGARGAGCTATTCTACAGTTGCACTGTTTTAAACTATAGGAAAATTGAAGTCCATTCACTTTAGGCATTAGGAGCACTGCTCCTACTCGTATACTCCCTTGTGCAATTGTTGGGTCAACTTTCTTTTGGATTATGCCCTCCCTATCCATTCKAGGTCCTGCGCAGTTTTACTTTTCAGGTGCCCAGTTATAGAATGGACCCTCCATGGAACCTGTTCCTGTTGCTGCTGGGATTACAGCAGCAGAAGCAAAGCAGGCAATCACCATCWCCATTCCTGGGGAGTGGCACTGGTACCAAGTACCAACTCAGCATTTCCATCGGCAGGACTAAGAGGTGGGAGTGGGAGAAGTGGGGGAGGTAACTGTTCTTCTGTGTATGTTTTAACAGGGTGCCTCAGCCTCACACCCCCAGAACAAAACATCTGGGTGACCCTGGCTAAGACAACCAGACAGGATACCTCATACCTTCGCACTGCTCTGCCCCAGAACCCATTCATGATCAGTGTGTGATCAGTGTCCCTCTCACTGCCCATGAGCTGAAACAGCTGTGTAACAGCACCCCTGTGGCCTGTCCGGCTCCTGGARTGGGGCAACAACTGCCTCACCTCGGGAAATCCCCTGCTTTACCCCTGCAGGAGCTGTGGATTTTAGGCACCTTGAATGCAGATAATTGTACCACCTTTAAATTTAGCARCAAAGAAATAACAAACTCCTATAACTTGGTGGGTCAGTGCCCCAATATCGTGGTATTAAAATGCTTTACACTGGTGTAATTCAACTACAGTGCAGCTAAMCCTGAGTTTTAGTACACGCATGCAACTTCCACAAGATACCTTGATCTACAGGGGCCGAGCATGGGCCAGAATGCCAATAGCAATTAAAGGTAGCCCTTGCACCTTAAGAAACTAAACCTCTTATCTGCAAATAAAACTACTGCAATAAAACTGAACTCACCACTGTCATACTCAGATCATATATACTTTTACTCTGACTACACAGATACAGCTAAATTCTAGAACGTTACCAAGACAATCACTGCCTCTGTTGTCTCCTGGGTTTGCAGGTGCATGAGCCCTCATGAGCCTGAATAGACTTAGTTGTTAGTAAAGTTTAGCAACACTRCCAGCACAGCTATATCTGATTTGTTAATTGATGTAGACAGCATTTAAACACGCTATGCTACAAAATGAAGCATCAATTGATTTTTTGCTTTTAATCACATGAGCATGAGTGTGAAGATTTTGTTATGCTATATAAATTTAAGTGACCATTCTAACTCTGTCCATGGACAACTACAGAAATTACAGACRTTTGCTCAACACCTCGTAAAAGACACCAGTTGGAATCTGTTTGCTGGATGGACATGGGGTTGGAAATGGTTAAAAAAAGGGATTAGTATTACTTTGTGCCTTAAATATTTGGTTTCTATGAATTATTTATTGTATTCCTTGTTTAGTATTGTTAATCCAATCTTTTATAGATGGCATGTTGCATYGTACTGTTGTTGGCATGGTGGAATATCAAGGTTTTCCAACCACGGACTGTGCGATGTGTCAGGGACCGAAATCGTGTCTAAGGCCCTGCTACATTTGGTCTGCTGTTGTACASATCAACAAGASAATGAAGAAAAGACAATGAAGAAAACCTTATTGTTTAAYTGGTGGGAATTTGACCCTTAGGAGAAGCAACGTRTTGGGAGCTTAACCTGTGRAAGAAGAACAATATACAATGGAGCTATTGTTAACATGGAGGTGGCATCATGAGCYSTTATGGCCTCATCTCCCACTCTRGCCAAGTGTGAGCTGATGTCGTAACTGGAAAAATTCCACTCCAAGAGGAGGAGATGTGAGGTGGGGTTGAGGGGTGAGGGGTGAGGGGCTGAAAAGGACAAGATGCATGCCATTTCAATCCAGGGGACTCCCTGAAGGTGCAGCGCCTGCCTGCCCCTCCCGCCTGAGCACCATGCTCCATCTCCTTYTYCTGCTCAGCAGCTTTTCAAAAAATCCAGTGGTCAGTATGTATTATTTACTACTTCAACTAATAAAAATACATCTGCTTTGCARTCACAATTGYGTTTCAGGTTTTTTTTTTTGTGCACGGGTATCCTCCAGAACCCATAACAATCATCTCCAAGCAGCTGGAGATGGCAGCGGGCAGAATTCAAGGGCTGCTGAACTTCCAGAAGAAATTTTGACGAAAGAGCTTTTTGACCTACCATACTTCACTGATTTGAGAACAGTTGACACCATCAATATTGGTGAGTAGGGGATTATAATATTTTCTTGCTTTCWTAGAAGTAGACCCTACCATTATAAGAACAATAATATCTATAACTGCTACTTCTCAATGTATCAGCAATGAAACAAGTATGGATCTGAGCAGTTGTAAATGGCTTAGGTGTCCTCATTACCTAGGATCTTTCTTTCTTATCATCTCTGATACTTAGACTATAACATGTTATTAATTTTGATATAATAATTTTTGAGTCTGAATTTACAATACAAATTCTAAATGCCATCCTTAGTTTTTGTGTTGGTCGATATATGTAGTTGGTCTGGGAAAGTAAAAGGTTAGTAAAGCCTGATCATTCAATTACCACAAGTACCTGCAGTTTAAGCATAAGAAGAAGTGATGGCAATTCCAGTGCTCACTGACAGCTAGGAAGTAGAAGAGATGGTTAAAGTTGAAAGAAATACTCAAGAGTCACAGACACCGTGATAGTACAGTGGTRCTGACATTTGAAAAATTAATTTGTGTGGAATCTCTAAGTAATCCTGAAGGATGCCATTATTTAAGCTGGTGATAAATGCAGTGTCTCACATATAACAACAATAGAAATAGCTTTGCATTTTCCAAAAGACAGATATCGAAATTATGTTGCAGGCAGATTTTTTTTTAATGCACACACATTTCTCATTTTCACTTCCTGTCAAAAAATGCACAGTTRCTAATATATTTATGTCTTGCCAAGAGTCTTGCTGGTTTTCCGTTGTTCAGAATGTTTCAGTGCCTGTTTTATTCTCTGAATCATAGAATGATTGAGGTGGGAAGGCACCTCTGGAGATCTCCTAATTCAATTACACCTGCAGGGTTACCTGCAGCAGGTCGCTCAGATCTGTGTCTGGTTGTTGTTTTGATTGTCATCAAGGAGAGAGACTACACAACTTTACTGGGAACTTGTCCCAATGCTTAAAAGCATTTACCATGAAAGAAAAATAAATTCTTAAATGTAGATGARATTTCCTATGTTTCAGTCAGTCTATTTCTCCTGTATTTCCTTTTTCTTGTTTCCATTTCATCCTGCATTTCAATTTCTCTCCACTGCTTTTTCTCACAGTGGTTCTTAAAAATAGTTGAAGTATTTCTGTTAGTCATTTTAATACAGTAATGATGTGCTTACTTGACAAGAAAAGGSTAGGTAAGGTGAGTTAATCGTTGTTGAGAGGACAAAGGTTTTGATTTATGATACTTTCTGCCTTAAATACCAAGTTGGTGTAAAAYTCTGTCCATGCAACCATTGACTGGAGAACAACATGGTCCTGTTTTCTGTGCCTGGGCTTCTGACCTTTCTTCTTCTTCAGGTGGTCTGGAGTCTGGTAAGAAAACAAAGAATATATAATCTTTATATGACTGAGTAAGTAATGCAGCTTAAGATGACCTTGAGAGGAAAAGAGTTAATTAWATTGATTCTGCAAAATAAGAATTCTATTGTTGTCTTTGTGGGAGAGATAAATTATTTCTGTTTCCTTGGGGGTCTTAGTGTTGCTGTTYTTCATAGGCCTGGCTATACATGGAAAGAGATTATCTTCTGTTCCCTATGTAAGCAAAATGTCCACTAGTGTTCAAAGTTMCCAGAAGAGCAAGTCTGGGGTTAGAATCGAGTATGGAAATTTATTTCAGTTCTCCATACCTCAATGGATTTTTTTTTCTATAATACGTTATAATTGATATTGAAAATTATGCTTTTTTAGCCACTGGATGTACTTGGAMATGACTGCTCCCTGTTCCTCCAATCCAGCTGAAATATTTCAAGTCAAAAATAACAGTTGAGATTTCGGTATTATTACCTGTCTTTTGTAGTGAAATAGAGCATTTTGCTCGTTTTAGGAGGCTTTGTTGTAGAGGTCAGGAACTTTTGGTGCTATACAATATAATAGTTCAGAAAACAGAAACCAAAAAGYTCTTGAATGCTTGTTTCAGCTGTTCATAGCCTCAGGGTAATTTACAGAGTAAGGTATTATTTTTATGACACTTCCTAAGTACAATAACATTATCTAAGTTATGCAATTTAACAATCGTGGCAGCCTTATCTTCTTCCTTTCCACCAACGCATGCTCATACATCTCCCGAAGTAAAGTGCTCAGCCTCACATTCCCAGCTTTCCCTTTGTCCTCCTGTACCCCAATTCCATACTTTCCCACTATTTCCACTTCCTGTGCCTTTTGGAAACTCAAATCTCGTCCTTGTTTATATTCCACTGCAGGCTTTGTTACAGCCCATAGCAGGTGATGCAGGGTGCCACAGCCCATATCTTGAAGTTATCTCACATTAAGCTGGTTCCTAATAACTGGGTCTTGTGTGAAAGAGGGCTTCTGACCACCAGGGTTAATTATTTCATTTCCTTGTGTTCTGTAGCCAGAAAGAGCTAATTTCAAATYTCTGGATGCCAATACTAAAATAAYATAGTCTGGAGAAAACGCTGATAAGTTAGGGTGTGTCATCCAAACTAGATGATTATATTCCATCTGAACAGATATCCAAGCTAAGTGAGGTGGGTTGTCTTATGGAGATGCCAAGGCATCATGGTGGTGCCATAGATATTCTAGGCACATAGGAATTATCCATTTGTTTATTCACATTTACCTAATGTTTACATGATTACAATAGGTGAGATGTTTCCCACCTGTCCATGATGCACTTGAATTTTTTGTCAGTTCAGTGTGCTCACAAGCCGTGGTTTAACCAACCATTTCTATGTCTTAATTTACATGTTGTCCATGTCCAAAATTAGGGACTGATATTAAACGTGATCAAAAATRTGAGTATGTGTAGATTTAAAAATAGCATTGATTAGACTAAAWTAGATTTCTACTTGGTACACCTCAGCTAACACAACCCTACTCTGCATGCACAGTTCACTATGAACTGTGAATTTGCTTTGTATTTACAAKATTTTCACAGACTAGAAATGTATCATATAGTGTGTCGGGTTGGTGTTGAGACCAAAGTCACTGCCATGTGAACGAGTAATMCTTGTATGCAGAGATGCTCCTTTCRAAACAGAGTATTTTWCTCTTGAGAGTCACAGGAATAAAGAYGTAGTTTTGTTGGGAACACAGTGGAAAGAGGTGTTGGAAGGGATTCCTTCAGTATAAAACATTCAGTGGYYGTTTTCAGACTCTGAGGRCCRGCCTGGATTTCACTGAGTTGTTGAWTTTGATRTKGTTCAGTCATGAGCTCATATTCTGATTTGTGCACCAAATTTTGATTTGTGCACTGTCCTTAGTTGCTGGTTTTAGTTTGTGAGCTTTTGCTGCAGGTAGAGGAACTTTTCAAGGAGTTAGCCAGTTTGTGCCTTTAGCAAGGTTATACTTTCTGGTTAGTAGGTATGGGTACATTGTAGTTTATAGTTATTGGAACTGCAGAAGCCTTTTACTCACCATTAATGGTTATGAGGGGATTCAGCGTATATGGGTATGATTCTTCTCCTCCATCAATAATCTTTAACATAAAATGCAGTAACGTGATTTTAATTTTTTAATATTGCAAGCTTTACTTGTAATTTCTTTCCTCATAGAAATCTGCGTGAGTGGGAGTTAAAAAGCAAGTGGTCTTCCAAACATGTGTTGCTCACTTGGCCCACTTTCATTTCAGAACTTGAATATGTAGATACTGCTTTATACACAGTGATAATGAATTGTCTTATGCAGTGATAACAAAGTGTAATAATACAATATGTGCACAATAAAACTTCAACATGAAGGAGGAGTCTATTGACATTTCAAATGTATGGATGGTTTGTTTGAACAAGACGTCTGCAGTTATTAAACTGTGTGTGTATGCAGTTGTGGGTTTTTTTCCTAAAGTCCCCATCCTTATTTCTCATATATCAATGTAAACCTGAATGATACCAGTTAATTTTGAAATGTGAGATCAATATAAATCCTTCAGCACTTGCATCTGCCCAGCTCTGGAACCAGTTTTGAAATGGAGTCAGTCACTTTTCCACAATGATACTGGGTTTTTTAGGGTCACCTATCTTAAAGTCTGACAAATTTTTAAAATATGCAATAKTGCAAAGTGCTGAAACATGGTTGTTTCAGGAGAAATTCAATGAGGAAACAGATTATACTCAGTTTTCTCTGTAACTGACCCTTCAAGGTCAAAACCCTGTGCAAGGACATGTGTGGGTGGTAGTTAGGGGAAAAAAAAGGAAGCAGAAGAAGTTGATTAAAAACTTTGCCTGTTATATAAGTTAGATATTAAGTGTTTGCATGTGTCAGCTGGTGCCACTTAGAGAATTATCTCTCTTAAACATATAAATTATGGCCTCCACTTGGTTTGGTGAAAATGGTTTTCCTCTTACACAATCAGATTAAATAATCAAAATCTGACAAAAACTGTGAAGCAACACTTTGAGTTATTTTTAGTTCAGGTGAATCAAAATCATAAAATGAGATTTCTGACCTTTGTATTCGCAGTATTTTTTTCTGCCCTTTGCTGAAGTTTTTTTTTGATTTTCAGATCAAAAATTAATCTGTCATTATGAACCTAAATAGGGCATTCTGACAATTTCAAAGTTTTCTTTCTGAACCTTGATATTTCATGGGCAGTAGGATTTCTTTTTCTTTGTTTGCTTAAAATTTTTACATTAAGTCAGTTCAAGGGTTCACAGTTGTTTCCCTTGAAATCGTTCCCCTCGTTACCTGTTGAAACTCAAGTCTAGAAGACCACACCATACTGCCATCTTACACATTGTACAGATGTTAGAAATTACCACAATTAATATTCCTAGGGACTGCATGGACTTGATTTTTGCTGGTTTTCAGGATTCTGATCTTGTGTTGTTCATTGCTTCTAGCGGAAATTGCAGATGCTTATCACACTGGTAAAAGAAGTCCTACATATAAAGCTGCATGAAATTATTTATATAGAGAAAGAAAAACTGGAGGCAAACTGTAGTAAAAATAAAAGTAAAAATCCCACACTTTTTCCCAGAATTGCTGTTATATTTTTCCATTTGCTATATCTGCGACTTATATTAAGATCTTAGAATATAAAAATGTTTTTTATCTTCAGTTTGTGAATTTCTATTAAAACATACAAATAAAAGACACTCAGTAGTGATGGCTTAGAAAGGCTGTTTATGATTTTACTCACTCTGTGAGAAATGGTTGCATAGTGTTATGCCAAATATATCTGAGCCAGCCCAAAAATGAATTATCTAGTCAAATAAAAGAATTAAGATTGTATTTTACAGGCATGCTATGGCAAAGAGAATTGTTCTATGTATATCTCATCATTTGTCACTATATCTCTATGTATATCTCATCATTTCTATACATATTCTATGTTTATCTCATCATTTGTCACTATACCTCATTGTGATCTATATGCCACTATATCTCATTATGATCTGTGGATTCTCCATGTTGCAAAGGGAGTGTTTGAATTGTTACTGTTTAGGTAAATAGAGTCCAGACAGAGCACTGAGCTGGAGCTGAGGTGACCTGGACTATGCACCCAGGCATTCAAAGCCTTGCTGTGTGATGCCAGACCCCTCATTCTCTCCCCCAATCTTCAGATTTGCAATGGGAAGTTAAGCATTACTTCCACAGGTTCTGTACAGCTGCTGTCTAGTAGCAATACTTGATTCCCTAGAAATAATAGGCTCCTTTTCTTCCCATTTGTGAAGGACAATCCAGCACTACCTGAGTTGTGAGAGAAAAGAAGTTATGAAACCTTCACAGAAGCAGTTCTGGGCGAATTATTTATTGGGCAGCCTGAGGAGGGGAGGGTGCAAAGCTGCCACATGAGCAAATAAATATTTCCAGTCAAATGGGGAGGCAGTGGGTGCACTCAATCCAATACAAAGCCATGTGCTAAGTGCTGTCAGTGGAGCTTGAATCACATCTCTAATACTGTTGAGAAAGTAATGCGAGCTGCATTTCATTATATGCCTTTCTAATAATATCTTTTTTTTTTCTTCCCCCTCCCCAGCCTGCTCCAGAGACAACTGGTGAGTTCTGTTTAGAGATCTATTTGTATGCAYGGGAGGCAGTCAACAAAACCAGCTGCTCATAAACATCGCTGGGACAGACACAGATTTATAATTACTGTTATTGTTATTGCATTAATTTTCACACTTCATAAAGATAACARCAAGGGCTAATGTCCTACCTCACTTGTCTTTTTATTTTTCAGAAATAGACGTAGATGGAGGAGTTGATCAGGACATCTTYGACATAAATGAAGGTTTTTCAAAATTCAATCTCTCTTCTATTTTTTTTTAAATAATTTTCATTAAAGATCAATTAAATAACCGAATGTTTAACTCCTCTTCTCTTTAGCTTTAGGACTAGACCTTTTTGAGGGAGACATCAAACTTCATGGGGTGAGTTCAAATATAAAATGCAAAGCCAAAAATGTGCCATTGACTCAAATGTGAAGTATCACTGGCATGGAAATAATAGATTCATCCTGCTCCTACTAACAATAAATCCTGTTTATGTAACAATAAACTGAAGATGATTGGGGATGGAATTCTACAAAATGTCATAGRCAATGAAGGAGTCAGCAGCATTTGCAGAAACATTATCCAGCATGARATCTCTCCAGTGATTAGATCAATATTATTAGCTTCTTGTTTCTTTTTTTTATATTTGCACTTTTAAGAGATTAAACAGCAATGATCATCATCCAGGCATGTTTGTATAAAAAAAAAATCTTCATTTATCTGTATAATATTTATTCAGAGCTGATTAAATTTACTTAGCAGCACTACAAAACCTTCATCCTATAAGTAGATTGATAAAACCAGTGAAAAATTTAGAACTGTAATACCACATTTGAAGGTATCTGGTCAGCATACTTATCTGATCAACTAAGAAAAAAACTTCATTTACATCTCAAAAATATCTAGTAGAAAACCCCCAATGTGTCTTGCACTCAAAGTACTCTGAAAATAGTGTTTTACTCTCCCTTATGGGAAATATGCTGAATGTGTCACTGGATGCAAGGACAGCACTTGCTAAAGGCACAGAAACAAACCCTTACATTAGGAAAAATTACAAAATTATTAGTCTCTCTACAGTATTGAGGACTTTAGATCTTACTGCTTCCCACAGGAGATGAAGCTTCCATGCACATGCATCAAAAGCTCAGATTRTTTCTGTGGAGAAAATACTACAGAATCTGCAGACACCGGAAGAAGGGAGAAAAGGCATTTCAAACCCAAGCCTTAGACCTATGTGTAAACTTTCAAGGTTTCTGAGCTCATTATTTTTGTTTATGTCTTACTTGGAATTGTAGGTTTGCTWTAGCACTACTGTTGTCCTTGAAGCTGAATGACTTCTTACTGAGGACTGCATATTTGTTTTCTTTCTTAGATGCAGGATAGAAACTCCATCATTGGTGACAACTATCGGTGGCCCCATGTTATCCCTTATGTCCTTGAAGACAGCCTGGGTACAGTATTTGCCCTTCACAATGTCTGTATGTTGTGTTGATTGAACATTGAAATGTTAAACACAGGTTGATAAAGTTGCTGTGGCATCTTTTCCTCTTTTTGTCTAGAGCAGGCAATTCCCAGCAGGAATGGGGCTGAGTGTGCACAAACAGGATCTATAATCTTGATTTCAGTACTGTTCTTACCTCCTTTCTTGAATTATTATCCTGCTACACCCCTGCAGATTGTTTTGGTTTTGAAATCTTGTGTCTGAGACATGAAACTCTACTAAGCAGAAGTGAAAAGAGGGCRCTGAAGATATTTTTAAGGGCAGAAACCTTACCTGGCCATTTACATAATTTACAGCAGGGGAGGCAAAATGGCATTCTGACAGACAGTTTGCAATGGCACATTGCCAAGGCCCCTAATGTGAGCCAGGGACACATCATAGTTTGACTCCRTCCTTTAAACCTTTGGGTTGAAACTATGCAAGTTGCTTAGRGGTGATAACACAGATATAATGTGARTAATTCAAGTCCTGGAGAAATTCAGTGAGAGATCTGTAGCCTGCATTCTGCACWARGTAAAAAATGAAGTCTTCATTTCCTATCTATTTAATACTTGTTTACATAAATCTCAAAAAATTTAATGAAAGAATCTACAAAATTAAGACTCCTCCACACACACACTATCCTTTTATAAACTGTTCATGTCATATTTTATACATAAATTCCAAAGAAATATTACACAGGAGCAAAACAAGAGCAAGATACAGTGATGCAAGACCCTAATTTATGTTTTTTAGGACCCTACTTGGGTCTGACAGAAAGCCTTTTCATTTTCATCAAAGATTGCTGGAGCAAGACCCACCCTTGGGACTTGCTCCATGTGGATAACAGTAGAAATTTAGCAGTTCAGTATTGACAAGAACTGTTTGCTTTGCAGAAATGAATGCTAAGGGACTTATCCTCAAGGCATTTGAACAGTATCGATTGAAAACCTGTATTGACTTCAAACCTTGGGAAGGGGAGAAGAATTACATATYTGTGTTCAAAGGAAGCGGGTAAGAGAAGCAATTCAAAATAACTTTCATTCTGTTTGCTTTCAGATTATTTTCATGGCCAGTATTCACTCTAAAATTTATGTATCTGATTATAATTTTGCATTTTTGTTGTCTCCATTTTACCAGTCCTTTTTAAACTGTCATGGTTTCCAAAACAGGTATTACCTTAGTAGCAAAGAAAAAATTCTATTGATATTTAATCTTAAATACAAGAAGAAATCAAGKCCTTTAAGAGCTAATTTTCTGCATACAGTAAAAGATACCAGAAACAAGGCAATAATGTTCTTGACTGATCTTTGGATATATTTGGATATATGGAGTATCACTTTCAGATGGTCATTCTTTGTGTACCTTGGCTTTTAAGGGGGGGGGGAAAACAAGGCAAAATATGGTACTTGTCACTGTASGGCAATGAATTTGTTTGAATATTAAAATGGAGTTGCATTTGAGCAATGTCACATGAACATTCAGATAAAAAAACAATAGTTTTAAATGCTGTACAAGATATTTTACCAATATTTCACTTTATTTACCTCTTTTGATGAATAGTCATACTATTTAATCTTAAATTTTGCAAAATWGACTCCAGTAAAGAAGTCAAAATTGCCTCAACTTCTTCCCTTCTGAGACATTCTCTGTCAAAACAGTGAAACAAGGAAACAAATACATTCTCCACTCTATGCTGCTGAACCATTTCTCTTTCAGAAAATGAGAACAGGGAGAGCCTGATAACCTGGTGAGGAAATTTGCTTTCAGMAAATAATTTCCTGATACGAGAATGCATTCATAAATGGGAAAAGATTTTCTGATAGTAAAAATGTTTCTCTYTCCCTTTGGCATGGTCTGAGATATTTGTAGCAGATAATTGTTTCAAAATCTYTTTGGTGTCTGGCTCTTTGTATTTTCTGATGTTCATGCTGTACACATGACACTGAAACTCAGCTCTAAAAGATGTATAATTGGAGACTCAGGGAACAATGCATTTTCCTGTGCCGATGACTCCATCTTTTTGAGCTAAATGGAAAATTCACGTAGCTGGATTTTGTAATCCTTCATCCCCTAAAGTATGCATTGAATTTGCTAATAATTGTACCTGAGAATGAACCACATTATTTAGCCTATGGCAAATAGGAGGCCTCTGTGCAATGTTTCATTTATGTGTCTGTTAAAAATAGATGAGTCATGGTGATGAAGAAGACCAATCGTTCTAGTTGGATAAAATATCTTGCCCTCCCTGCCTGGTGTGTGGCTTGCCCTGAGGTGTTTCTATCACCTCAGCTGACACATGCACAGCAGAACTTTTTAAAAGTTTGGAGCTAAATGGTGCAGTCTCCTGAAAATGGCCATCCAGTTTCAGTGAGTCAGCTTGGGCAGTACAAAGGAGTCAGGACTGACCCTGAWTGAACTGCTTCCATTTCATGCCATTCCTTACTTCTGGTGTAATGGAAGAAGGCCTAAACTGGGTAAACCAACCCAGTTTAGATTTTTACTCTGCTGTTCCTAATGTTTTGGAGTTTTTTTAATCAGCTTGGACTCTTCTATCTGCTGACTAAAGATCTGAGTCGAGAGGGTACAGTGCAGACAGGCACACAAAGTTCCTGGCAACATAAAATTTTACCACACCAAGTAAAGGTTGATAAATCATCTTTGCTTTTCTGATCTTGGCTTGCATCTATTAAACAGAGGAATGTGCGGGAACTTTGTGTCAGAAGGATTTGTAGTAGGCCATAAASTCCTCATCTGTGTTATCCTTTTAAATTCAAATGAAGTCAGCCACAAAAAAAAAGCCAKCTGTCTTTTGTTGTGTTGACTGCCCTGTGTAAAAATACGTTTGTAGTCTCTGGTGTATGTACAGAGTGTTTCAAGACCCTGCACAAAGAGCCCTCTCCCTGTACACATTCTTCATCTTCCATTTGCCTTGGCTGCTACCTGTACTACATTAACTCCAGCCTAYGTGCTGAGCAAACTACGTGAGGGGTGGTTGTGAGTTACAGAAATGCAGGATCATCAGATGTGGCAAGATGTGTCTGTGAAGTTCACAGGAGAGTCTGAAAACCTGTGGTGGATGTGCCATTTGTCCTTATTCTTCTCATGAAGAGCAGGATTCATTCAGCAGGAAAGCTAGCATGGTATGGTAGGATCAAATGATTAGCAGACTAGGGAGGATCAACATCAACTCTAGTATTTCCACGTGGAAAATCAGGTTTTAATGGAGCACTCCTGGAAGGCCACTTCAGCTCTTTGCCACTGTGGCTCACAGCAAAGGGAATCTGTGCAGAAGTGGATTGATACAGATCCCTGGCTAGCCAGCTCGGTGCTGGTAAGTCAACGTGTCTGTGAGCTGATATTGGTGATCTTTGATACTATGGAAAGAAAATCAGTTGCAGGACATTAGTATAAAAATGTGCCTGAATTTAGTGGCATGGTTGCTGCTGATGGGATGTGTCTGTTTACAGCCCAAAAAGAGGGATGGTGGGATTAGTCCCAGCAGGTCCTTCCCTGTTCCTCTAGCCTCTGACAGCAGTGCAGAAAACATTRAATCACAGGCAGCACAGCTGTCACACACCTGGGGAAAGCTGGAACTTCCCCCACTTTGTCCCCTCCTGAAAACAGTGCTGACACAGGGTTCTAGGTGCCCATTGCTCTGGAGTGCCATGTCCCACTCACCTGTGCTTTATTCTCAGTGCAGGGTGACACAGACCTGTATTTACTCCCTCTGTGGCAGCAGACTGATGGTGCTGTAGGCATTTGGCAGACCAAAGGCAAGGGGAATCTGCGTCTCCTGTCACTGGGACGTTCCTTTTGCTGAGTGTCCTGGATGTGCCTGCAGCCTGCTGTGCTCTGTGCAGCAGCTGTGAAGCCAGAGGTGGCTTTGGGACAAGGTGGACTCAGGCCATGATGGATTTCTTGGACTTCTGCACAGCACAAGAATCAATATGAGGCCTTGTTCAAGGAAAGACCTCGAAATTATGGATGCTGCATGTGCTCCTTATGAGGTCTCAYGTTGTSRTTCYAATGAGTGATCAACAGGCAAGGCCKWTGTTGYTCTGTTGAAAATGAAATACTGGGGAATGTGTTGCATTAATAAGTTACAGAATTTGAAAGGACATGGTGTGCTTACATTTTTAAATTTCTGGGGTTATAGGACTGCGAATCCTATGGCATATTTCGTGCCCGATTAATTTTATGTACTGTATTGGGTAAGTAATGATTTATTTGCCRCATAAAATATTAATTTAAATGTAGCTCTCCGTGCCTGCTAGTTTGTGGACATGGGGTGCCGTTTTATTGGCCTGTGCAGACAACTCACTAAATTCTTTCAACCTTTAATAAAAACTTCCAGCACAGCTGCAGCTTTGCTCTTACTTGGGAGTGTGTGAGAGCAGCAAGTGCTGTAGCACAGCAGCTGACAGAGAGCCAGAAAGAGTTTGTGAAAAGCACTGTCAGATCCACCAACCTGTCAGATCACCATGCAGAAACACATCTTGCCTGGCAGCCCCATGCAAGGTAAAAGGCCAAAACAGTAMAGAGAAAGGCAGGCAGAGGAGAGAATGTTCATGAACCCACTTCTCCTTATGACAGGGACAGGCTCAAGTGTGCTCATAGTCACACACTGTGGTCTAGCTGAATATTGTTAGTTTGTAGTAACTTAATTGCTCTAAGTTATGTGCCCATGGTCTTTGCTGTTCCAGAGCATTTTTTTAATTTTTTTTTTTCCACAAGTACCTCAACATTTTTCATCTAGTAGAGCCAGAGACTAGAAACTTCTTGTTCATCAAAACAGAGCTAAGGGTGAGAGGAAGGGATATGATAAGGAGCAGATCAATGGAAAAATCCTTCCTGTAACAAAAAGTGATTTCAATGATCAGGTTAAAAATATACCTGTGGAACAGACTTGTTCTGGGGTTCGCATGGCATGGGGATGTTGTGTATCTCACAGAGCCCTCTCTCATTTTATGTCAATGCCAGCTGCTGGTCCTCTGTGGGAAACATCCAGATGGGGTTGCAGCAGCTCTCCATTGGAACCAACTGTGACAGGATTGGGACAATCCAGCATGAATTCCTGCACGCYCTGGGATTCTGGCATGAGCAGTCACGGTCTGACCGGGATGACTATGTGACCATCGTCTGGGACAGGATTCAATCTGGTCAGTCACTCCTCTGCTTTTCCTTTCAGGCTCTGGTGTTAGGGGGTTTTGCTGTGGAACATCCCTTCCAGCCATCCTTTGGTGGTCATGCTGTTCTTTCACCTGGACTTACTTTTCRAAACCAATGTATCAATAAATTAAACATTAGGGGACATCTGTTTGAGACAGAAATCCTCATTTGTTGTTGTTGTGGTAATTCCCTGCGCCACAATAGTTTCTGAAGCTCTAATTAGAGATCTGAATCCTGTTACGCTAGATGTTGTACCGCAGAGCAGCAGAAGAGGATAATTTCATTTGTTTAAATGAATACTCTAAAAGCACACTTACTCTACACTTACTCTTCATTCTCCTGAATGAAATAAAAATCTCTAATACTCCCCTAGCCCTGAAAAACCCAGTGTGACCAAAACCAGTAGAAAGTCTCCAGTGAGAACACTGATCYTTCCCTTTCTGCCTGTCTGCTACACTGGTGCAGGCAGCAGAGCTGAGACAGCAGAGCTGAAACAGTAGAGCGTGCAGAGGGTGGACAAGCAGGAGAGACCTTTCAGGGTCTGTGTCACACCAGCAGTTACTTTAGCCTTGCAGCTTGTGAATTGTAAGGGTTGGCATATYTGGCACAAGCCTGAGAGCTGGCACAGAATTCCTCAGGACTTTGCTCTTTCTCTGCTTCTTTATCTTGGTGTCATCTTCTGTGACTTTCAGGCAGTTCAAAACAAAGTTATATACACAGACTTGATGTTTTCCTAACACAGGTGCACACAGAAGACTGAGAAAGTAGGTAATGATTAAATCTAATGCATTCTTATTTAGTCGTGATCAATAGTCAGGGGTATATGCAATTATATATTACGGAAAATGACTTAGACTCTGTTATTTGATTTCCATTATCTTTTGCTGACTCTTTAGTGACAAGCTGCACTATTGTTAGCCATTTGAAACTGCTGCAATTTTTTTACACTGACCAGAACACAGTTACTGTATTTTGACYGATTTAAATCTTTACTCCCCATTGGGTAGTGAGCAATTGGTTTTTTGCTCAGACTCCAGAAAACATCTGTAAAGTTAGATTCTGGAAGCTTATCTGATGACAACTCTGACTTKTTTATTGTTACCTAAAATGACTAGTAATTAACAGAGAATACCAATTAGAAACAGTTGCAAATTGCAGTAATTTGAGTACTGAAACACTCTCTCCATTTTTGGGTATCACAATCTTAGCAAAGTTTACAAGAAGTTTCACAGAAGAAAGTTTTCTGGTAGCAAAAGCTTTGTCTCTTTCAGCAGAAGTCATCAGTGGCTGAAAGAGGAAAGTAAATAGCCCTATACTTGAAATAAAACTGTTCTACAGAGAAAGTACAAGTAAAAGTCTAAAAAAAAAAAAAAAARAAAAAATTGGAGATCTGATATAATCTCTGTGTCTGTAAGTCTTTACATCAAAACATGATTCTCTTGGGCAACAATCTTTCCTTTTAATTTTGCCCTTTAGGTAAAGAACATAATTTCAATAAATATGATGACAAAAGATCAGACTTCCTGAATGTACCCTATGACTATAATTCTGTGATGCACTACAGCAAGACTGCATTCAGGAATGGAACTGAGCCCACCATCCTCACCAACATCCCAGACTTCATGGATGTCATAGGGCAGCGGATGGATTTCAGTGAGTACGACCTCGAGAAGCTGAACCGGCTCTACAACTGCAGTAAGTTTCTCCATTCACTTTACATCAAATGCGTGTGGCATTTGAAAGAAATGAGGGTGATACGTACATGCTGGGCCCATCCAGACACAAGTGAAAGAGATGCTAACATATTTGGAGAAGTGAATGGTGTTTAAAACACCAGAAATAATGGTACAGCTAGAAATAACAGCCCTCCCTCAGAAACACTGCTGATTTGCAGAGGTTTCTGTGCAAATTTATCTGACCTTTAGCTAAAAACCAGCTTCGCTCAGCAGCTGATTTCTGTTCATCTCTTGGGTGGCTTTTTAAAATGTGTGCTTCTGCACAAAGCCTTTTGTTTTTTGCCTGTGTTATTCCACAGCTGTTGCTCAGACACTGCACAGAAATGAGGAYTTTTGCTGTGGCTGTCATACCTACTCCACTTCCACAGAATCTGTGAGACAGATTGAATTACATACAAATAGGGTACAGATACTGTTACCAATAAAATGCAATATTTTAAAATTTTCATGTTTAGTTTCAAACCTGGTCTCCTACAAAAGTGGTYAAAAGAGTTATTTTGCTCAGGTGAGGTGTGTTTTACAAAGTCAAATTAAAGTAAGAGACAGAGAAATCTAGATAGTTCTATTATCAAATTGGAATATAATTCTGTARTGGTTGCTGCATTCAATATGCCCTGGCACTCAGATGGAACCTTTTACAGTATCCCAAGCAGTAAATACTGGCTTACAATTATARTTTAAGCCTCATTACACAGCCACCTTAAACAATTATCAACCTGATTTATTAAAACAGTGCAGGTTTTTTGAGTGTACAATTCTGATTAAAACATTTCTATTCCTGTAGGTCTAAACTGAAGTTTAGAGTTACATGCAGCCTTAGCTTCAGGCAGTCAATTAAGCATTGTAAAAGTGCTGACAGCTAAGGATGTCTTTAACAGGGGATGGGGYCCTTCTTTCTCTCCATTAATTTTACATATTTTCCATCATTCTTGTGCTTTACAGAAATACTYCATGACATTTAAATTTTATTCTTAACCTATAGACACATTCGTTAAACGAAAAAAGCTGCTGTCCTGTTGAAATCAGTGACAAAACTGCCACCACTTTCAGTGCAATCAGGACCCATCCTGCTCCCCAGTCCATCTGTTGGCGTCATGTTGTGTATGTAGATATTTACAGAGACATAAATATTGTCAGATCACCCACTTGTGCCAGGGAGGATGGTRCTTCAAAGGTCCCAGCCCTCACCCACGCAAAAGATAACTTCATTTGCTGAACACAATTTGAGGAAAGTTTAAGATGAATTWCTGCTGGAGGCCTGTGTGGACAGGAAATTGCATTTAAAATGTGAATCTCGGTTCTTAAATTGAAGAAAACAACCCACAGCATAAGAAATTCTGATTGATGGTTTAGTGCTGCTCCAATCTGTATTTCCTTGCTGACAATCAGGCCATWTGATAATAGCAGATTTTAGTCTGCTTTCCCCTTGGAGTGCGCTGCTTACCAGAACTGACCTTGAGGTTTCCCTCAGCTTCTGGAACTTGGCACTCATGCCCCATATATTTTCCTCTGAGTCCAGTCTTCCACTAYGTACCAAGAAAGTATTTGGCTTTTKGTGCAGATGGAACTCACAACCTGCCTCACTCATTGCCCTTCCCCTGTTTCAGGAATGAATCTCAGAAATACATTGTAAGCTCCTGRGTCTTGCTTTTCTCCCTTCCTGTCATTCAGGTCAACATCCATGCCAGCCARCACTTTCTAATTAAGGACATTAGGTTACTTCCTTCCTGTGTGGCCAAATCAATTTCATGTTTTGTCTTCTATTCTGATTTCAAAGAGTTCTTTCATCTAATAATTCTCCATTTTTGCTTACTTTCTTTCTCCAGCRGTCATTATAACATTTGCTGCTTTTTTTAGTTTTTACAGCATCCTGCTGATACTCTATCTTAAAAAATATCAATCATAAAACACTTGTGATTACCTTGCAGCCTCTAGAGAGTTGTTAGCTTTCYGTGAGGACAGCACAAAGTATCTCAGCAGCAGAACTGATTTGGCAACAGTTCATACTAAAGTGCTTCCCAGAGCTACAGCTTAARTGAAGCATTTGGTGTGTTATTGAGGCTGAGTTTTGTGATACTCAAAGTTTTTTTGTTATGCAATGAAACCTTTAAAGGCCTTTAGATCTTTAAGCTGTAGTATTTTATACATAGTTTTAAAAGCATTTAATTAATTTATTTGTTTTCAAATCGTGGCTGGTATTACACAGAGCTCAGACATGGTATCAAGAGAAAGAAAATTAAGAACATGTATAAACCTGGCCTGTGCTATCTCTCASCTATACAGAGTTGGCTTTAGACTAAGAAAACAATTCATATGGAGTTCTTCYTTTCATATTGAACTGCACAGTCTTTCTTCACTTTTTTTTTTTACTTGTATGAAAGACATAGTAAAATTTGTATGACATGAAATATCCACTGGTGCCAAGCATACTTTTGCCAAATGTTTTTTGATCTCTTTTTCAATTCAGCATTTGGAAAATAAAAGGTTTGTTTATTACAGTGAAATAGCYTCTGCTCTTCTGTATTTCAAAATAAGCACTCCAGTTGATACATTAGTGAGCTTTTATCAAAATCTGTGTCTGTGTGTGGACTGGCCCAAAGAAAGAAAGCAGAGGAATGAATGGGAAGTCTTGGGACCTTTTGACTATAATATGAATGTGTGTGGATTGGGTTGGTATCAGTGTTCCTTTTATAAATAGAAGATGTAATATGTTAATTARCAGTTGCCCTCCTGTGCTTGCTAAGGGCCCAGAGTGTTCCTGATGACATCTTATCAGTGTCAGGGTTAATCACTAAGTGTTTTGAGTTCCTGAACATTGTATTTATGAATGCTGATCATATTTGAAGTCATTGATTATTTGGTCTTTGCTTTTAGTCTTTTTCTCTGCTCACGGCTTTGGACCTTCAGAATTAAAATGTGTTATGTAATAGAGATTCACAATTCTTTTTCTTTTCTTTTTTTTTTTTTTTAATGTCACAGCCTCCTCCCTAAGTTTCCTGGACACGTGCAGTTTTGAACTGGAAAATGTATGTGGCATGGTTCAAAGCTCAGATGATAACAGTGACTGGCAGCGCTTGTCTCAGGTTCCTGCTGGGCCCGATACTGATCACACTAATATGGGAGAATGCAAAGGTATGAGTAAAAAACTCTTATCTTTCTGGGAAGGGTTTTCTGCAGAGGCATGTGAGTTTGCTTCAAGCTTGGCCTTCTTATCTGTTTATTTTTTGACAAATTACAGTTTATTTTTTAACTAAGCAACATAAATCTATATTTAGAGACATCATGTGATATGTTCCATCTTCTGCTTATTTGAGGACATTGAATGTCCTTATCTCTTTTGATCTGTTTTTTAGTCTTAGTGTCACATCCTGTCATGAGAGTTACATAAAGTGTTGAACCTGTGGTACAGGCACACCAGATAGACTGCTGCTTCCCTGAATAATTGCTCAATAAGTCCTTGGAAAGGAGTAGGATTTTGAAATTAYGTATATTACCAGRGCTGAGATGAAAAATTAATTGACAGYCTAAGTTAGATGTATCTGAACCTGTCAGAAAACYCCAAGAGTTTGGGGGCTTGACCCAGTCCTYCAGAGAGCCAACTGTGAGTTACTGRCACTSGGTRAAGAGTAAAAACCCATGGTYCTGAGCACAGTTTGCTRGAGATAATGAAATGAGGACAAAARATGCAARGGGTATGGTTTTGCCTTTGGAAAATGTGAACAGGGAGCAGCCCTCAGTCAGAGATTTGTACAGAATCTACCTAACCCTGACCTGACTGTATCTTCTAGAGTTATTGCAATACAGCGTTAAGAAAACCAGTACACCAGGAAAATTCTGTTTTCTCTCCCCTCCACCGCTCAATTCTCATTTAATTTTGGCAGATTCTGGCTACTTCATGCATTTCAACACCAGTGCTGGAAGAGAAGGAAGCACAGCTGTCCTGGAGAGCAGAATTATGTATCCCAAAAGGGGCTTTCAGTGCTTAGAATTCTATTTATACAACAGCGGTAACGAGAATGACCGGCTGAAYGTCTGGGTCAGGGAGTACACATCAGCTAATCCAAATGGTACTCTGAGACTCATCCAAGAGATAAAAGGTATGGGATCAAATTGCATTTTGTTTTTTAATCTATACTTAATGTTTTTCCAAGTACTGGGGGGCTTTATTGTTTCAAAGTCACTCATTTCCTTGTGTTATTCTTTGGCTTCTTCTCTATCTCTGYAATTGATTCGTTGCTGGTGAAATTATACCTGATGGATCCTCAGTCAGCTGTTTTCTTATAATATAATGAATTACCACAAATTTCAAATTCTCATRTTATCAWGATAGCTTTCTCACCAAAATAGCTRAAATTTCATAAGCAATCATTTTAACTGTTSTAGAATTGCTGGTATCAATAGCAACTGATGAAGTTTGAGTATTAGATTAAATTACAGTTAATTAGAAAGAAATAATAAAGAAATGGAAAGCATAAAGGCCCTGGAATACCTAATGTACAAGTTTTAAAAAGATAAATAACATTTAAATTCTTTTTTAAAGAAGGTTTGAAATTACTTAACTGAAATATATGGGCAGCAGATCATGTTTTGAGTTGTGGCTGAAGAAGATTAAATTCTTGTGGTTTTARGAGCCTATGGCCTACAGAATGAGCATTTGAGGTCAGTTAATGGACAAGAGCTCTTGAAGCTAGAATTTCCAAAGTCACCTTATATATTCMATTACTTATTCAAATATTTAACTATTATATGGTCTCCACTGCAGCTACACCAMGTTCAGTCTTGCAGAAGGGTCTGAGCAAGTTCTTTTACTAAATAGGTGTCATTTTTGTCTCTTTTTGTTTCTTTATGCTCAGCTGCTGCTGGTGCCTGATTTTCTTTTCTTTTTTCCACTCTTTTCTTCACCTCTATGGCTTCACTCTCTGTGCCCTCTGTGCTAACAGCATTTTTAATGTGTCAGGGTTGCTGAGGCACGTGAATACTTCACAACAGTATGAGCCCTACAAACTCTTACAAACTCTTTGGTTTCTCCAGACTTCAGCCTTCCTCACAAGCACTCTTTTGTGTCTATTAGGTTCCATCTCCCGTTCCTGCTTTCTCAAATCCATAATTTCCTTTGAAATCTCTGACCCCTTATGTATGTCCAAACAGGCACCGTATTTTGACAACCTCTGGCAAAACTTTTAGGAATGGTTTAAGATAATTTTTCCCCTCTCACGTGAGAAGTTTCCCTCACTGATGCAGTCAACGACCTGGAGGAAACAATGASACTACAGCCCCTTCCATCCACGGTCTGACTCCCTGGCTGAGCTGGTCATGGGTTTGCACTGAACCATGACATTCAAGAAGCTTAGGGACAATCCCTGAACTCTTCCCACTGCATTGTGACAGGTGCAGAATCTTGAACTGCACATATTACATGTAAAAGTCCTTTTGTTTACATAGAAGGCAATTCCAGGAAAAACAGTGGGGTGYTTTTCTTCTTGTTTCTGGGTTAATTTTTTGCCTCCTAATTATAACAGTAATGAAAAATGTCAAGAAATTAAGCCCCATATTTGAGATCCATTTTGCTGCGTTTAGGGTTGTTAAGAGAGTGTTACCTGTGTTCTGTACCGGGGACTGGCACTGCTTGTTCAATAAATGCAGCTGCTCTTCTGTGCAGATGAAGAAAAACCAGACAGCAAAAGAAACTGTTTTGCTGCACATACTTTTAAAAAAGTGTGTTCTRCTTTCATCGACCTTACAAGCCCCCCTGTGTAGAGATCTGTGCTTTTGTGTACACTGCTCTTGGAGTCAAGTGGAATTTGCTAGTGGAGGCACTTTTGGATGCAGCATCAAACTTGCAGTGAGGTTTTATTGCACGAAGTAGGTTTTGCAAATGGCTGGCTTTAATTTGACCTTAGTACCATTAATCATTTCAGGGGTGAGCAGTGCTTCTGCATAGGCAAGCTTCCAACAAGCCATTTAAAAATAAAGAAACAAATGAATGAAGAAATCTTGTAGTTCTAGGTTCCCAGAATCCTCTGGAGTTTATTTTTTTTTTTTTTTTTTTTTGTTGAGGCTTTTTGTTGTTCAGTTATTTGAATATAACTTGTTCTGATTTTTTTTCTTTTTAATAACACAGGTGAAAATATTTTTGTGCATTTAATTATCACAACATCTGGATTAATTTAATGAAATTTTATTTAAAAATGTAAAATAAAAAGCAGTTTTAAAACTCATCAACAAGCGCTATTATGCATATTAATTCTGTTAAAATATTGTATTGAGCAAATAAGATCTTGCAATGAAAAAGTAACATAGGAAGTAACAGGATCCACAGACCTGTGCAGTGTTTGACTGTACTGCTGATTCAGAAATCTYTACCCTTGTTTTTCAGGCTCACCTGAGACTTACTGGCAGCTCCATCACGTTTCTTTGAGCGTCACRAGTAAATTCCGGGTTGTGTTTGAAGGCGTGAGAGGAAATGGCTCATCAAACGGAGGCCTCTCTATTGATGACATCAACTTGTCAGAAACTCAGTGTCCCCACCACATCTGGCACATCAGAAGTTTCACTCATCTCCTCAACACAAGTCCAGCAGGGAGAGATGGGATAATATACAGTCCACCTTTTTACTCTAGTAAAGGATATGCTTTTCAGATCACCTTGTACATAAATGGCACCACTGATAACCCATTTAATTTAGCAATATACTTGTCCTTGATTTCTGGAGCCAATGATGATCATTTGCAATGGCCCTGTCCATGGCAACAAGGTACCATGGTTCTGCTGGACCAGCACCCTGATATTCGTCGACGGATGTCAAACCAAAGAAGTGTAACAACAGACCCTGAGAGATTATCAGGTTAGTTAAAACCAATCATGTAAAACACAACCAAAAGACATGGGGGTCACACCTTCTCTTTGTGTAAATGAGTGCATTGGCTTCTGGAATGTTTCATAGATTTGCAACAACAGTAGTATTGATCCACAGACAAGAAAAGAATTAAACCTACAAGCACATTAAGCTAGGACTCTGGGTTTCAAAGCTGCATTTGCATAACAGGTGAATGTTCTATTCCTAAATTTCCTTTCATATGTCCTGTGACGATGCATTTATTTCTGTTTCAATGAGAATGGAAGTTTTCCAAAAGGCATGAAAAGAAAAATACTGAATTAACAATACAGGAAGTTCATACCAGAYAAAAGTGTAGCTATCAAACAAATCCCTGCCCTCCTTGTCAAAGGTACAGTGGTGTCAGCACAAGCCTCTAGATGGACAAAGTACTGATTCATATGATGTAATTTCTACTTGTTCTAGGTGTGGGAAGATAAGGGCTGTTGTCCACAATAACTTGGAAGGGAGGCAGTTGAAGTAAAATGTAACTCTGAGAAATTGYAGGAATCTCTGTAGAGAAAAATATTAAAGAAAACACCCACATTCATCATCCCTGGATAAAGTTTGGGTTTAAGCTGCTATGAATTTCTGCATTTTGCCAAAAGAAAACATCTCTGTCACTGAATTGGTTTTCTGGGCTTTCAGACAGGAAGGAAGGAAGGAAGGAAGGAAGGAAGGAAGGAAGGAAGGAAGGAAGGAAGGAAGGAAGGAAGGAAGGAAGGAAGGAAGGAAGAAAAATGTGCAATACACATTATTCTTTTAAAAATAGTATGTTTTACATTCCTTTCTCTATGACATTGGCTCATTCATGGAAATGAAGTGGGTCATCTAGAAAGACTTAATGTCCTATCTGTAAACAAAAGACATACCACACCAGGTGCCCCATAGATGCTGGGCATTTTCCCTCTGCTCTCTGCTGTAAGATTCAGAGTACTTAGCCCTTTTCCTTCCCTGATCCTGTGGACATGCAATCTGTTTGCACTATGTTCCTTCTCTATTGTTTATTCATATATTGCAAATAGTCCCGAATTCCCAAGAGGAGCCTTGTAACACACACTCTTTCTCTAACCAGAGAGGTGTTGGGGAGCAGGCAGTTCTTTCTCCCTCTGTCAGATTCTTTTATGGACAATCAGGCTTTGAGATTTAGAGCAGGGTTTGATGGAGCAGGCATCAAGGATCAGTGATCATTCAGGTTGTTCAAATATCTTGTGCCCCACATCTACTGCAGGAGATGTTCTCTTTTGAGAAGCACTGCATTGACTCATGTTACAGATRGTTCACGTKCTACTTACCTTCTTCACCACTACCYTTTAAAGAACTAAAAAGGAAATAAAACCGCTTTTCAACCAGCTCTCCAATCACCTCACCTCCAGAAGGTTCTTTTCTCAGTACATCAGGTTAAAACAAATCATTGAAGATCTCCATTGCCTTGTACCTCTCATCAATGAATCTCAGGCAACTGAGGTTTCTGCTGAGAGACAAACCTGGAGCAGTCTCACATGCACATTCTTTTTTATCCTTTTTTTTTTTTTTTTCCCCAGGATCAGATTTTGCTTGGGATAGGCCAGATATCGTGGGAACTGAAGCAACTTTTCCTAATGGAACTAAATACATGAGGGGTCCAGGATTTGGAACAAGCGCGTTTTTAACTCATGAGAGACTCAGAAGCCGTGACTTTATTAAAGAAGACAGTGTTTACATTCTTTTAACATTGGAAGGTATGTAAACATAGCTGACATTCTTTACAATGCAGTAAACAGTGTCAGATGCTAAGTCACTGGTGTTATAGATATAAATACATATGATGTACTTTGAACATGAGCATTATTTGAATTATGCCTACATCCAAAGTCCAATCACATGTTTGAACAAATTTATGAACAGGTATATGCACAGTACAAGTCCTTTATCTCATGTGGAGCTGTAAAAAACAATGCTAATCTCATGCAAATTATTTTGAGTAATGTGAATTAAACTGTTTCTGAAAAAAATAATCTAGAGGATATTTCCAGAGTACATCATGCTCCTGAAAGGTAAAAAAGACTGTATATCCATGTGCCTGACCCATGGACAGGCACATTATTAGAAATTATCATTAAAATATTGTATTATTACTGTATTATTACTGAATACTGTATTATTAGAAATTGTCATTAGAATAAGAATAAAAATAACGTGAAGCAACACCTTATTTCTTGTGTGTTCACCATGCAGATATTTCACATCTCCTGTCAACTGAGCCGAGTACTCCACCCACTACAAGTGCCAGCACCACCAAACCTAGCCCTACTGCCACCAGCAAGCCCCCCACTGTCACTGGGACTGCCACCACAGACAGTGTCACCCAGCCTGAAGATCCAGAGGTTCCAGCTTTCTGYCCAGACAACCCCTGTCACAATGGTGGTGTCTGTGTTATGGTGGACAGGGCACCAGTGTGCAGGTAACTGCCTTTATTCACTCTCAAATGCAATTTTAGGATGAGTAATGGAAGTTTCTAGCAAAATAAATCTTTGCTCCTAATGAGAGGAAAGACAGACTGGAGCTGATTAAAGCAAGTATTTGCAACTGCTCTGTGAGACTGAACTTATGGCCAATTTGGGCAACAAAGCTCCTAACCTCAGCATTTGATCATTTTGAAGCACTCTGCTTGACTTCCCAGTAAATATTATATTTCAAATGTGTTTATTATTTTCAGTAATGTATTACTCCAAGCCCTTAGAATTCCCCATAGCAAAATGTAGAAGAGTTGAATAAATATAATTGAAAGAAAAGAGTATTTATATCAGCAGAGAAGATTTTTAATAGTTATCACGTAGGAAGCAGCACAGACATTATTTTAAAATTTGATTCAGAAATATTGTGCAGTGCAAATTATGACCATGAATTACCAAAGTGTAGTCGCTCGCCTTTGAAACCAGCAGTGAAAGCTGAGGACTAAAACATTGTTTGCCCTGCAAGAAGATTAATATCAACTTTGATTTAATTCTCTGTGGATACRTTTACGTAACCCACCTGCCTGATTAGCATTGTTCCAGCTCTCAAATAAGCTCTGAGGCTGGAGACAGTAACCTTATGATGCTGTGYCAGGACAGGTACACTGGGGTAGTGCTGTGAGGAAAATGTAAAGGCCAAGAGCCACAAGAATCAGGATGACTCATTAAGTGTTATATCTGCCCATTTAGAAAGATTTTGAAAAATAGTTCTTGTGCAACTCATCAGAAGCAGGTCACAAATAGGAGTAAATGTCAAGACGTGGTTCCAAGAAGACAAAAATAAAAGATRTGCCAAATGTTATGCCTCATTTCAGAATTATGGAGAGAGAACATTTATTTTTTGACATCTCTGGACTATGTGAAGTTTTAGTGCCTTTGTGACCTGCTTTCTGTCCTGCAGAAATGTGTGACCAGCAGTCAGTTTCTACCCCGATTTTCTGTTGGGAAATGGGTGGGAATGTGATACMTCTGTTCAAGCTGAATCACCTGGAGTGCCCCCAGCAGGCAGCATCTTTGCAGCACTCTGCAAACAGACTCATTTTCAGGGCTGAGGTAGTTCGGAATAAAGGGCTTAGACAAGAACCAGAAGATCAATACATAAGGAATAACAAAAGTTAGAAAGATGGGGCTGGGTGTGCACTCAGCAGTACTTCATGGATTTTATTTTTTTGCAGTCAGATCCTTTGGACCCTCCTGTGTTCACTATAAAATGTTTTGGAGCTGATTGTGGTGCTGGATATGCTGATGAAATCAAAGCCTGGAGGTTGTTTTCAGTCCTAAAATTGGATGACTGCTGGGCTGTTAATTTATTTTCTTATCTGCTTCTTGGGGGAGGGCAGAGGCAGCTCTTACAAGTTCTTTAAATTTGAAAATTAAAAAAACAAAGAAGCTCCACAGATCAGCTGYAACCAAGCATTAAGCAGTCAAGAGGACCAGGGACGCATTTAGGTTTTCTGGCAAAGTCTCTCTCTGAAGGCACAACCTGAGAAACAGCAGGAAGCTGAAAGAAGAGCATTAGGGTGTGTAAGGTCARTGGGCCACTCAAGATAACTTTAAAATAGAAGTCCATTTTAAGATAACTTCATTACACTTTASCATATAGAAATTGCATCAGAGATGCTATTTTTCTGCAGTAAACCTTTTCACACTTTACTGTTCAGGTGATAGCACATGTTTGGTTTTTTTTTTGCTTTGTAGGTGTCCAGCAGGTGACAACTGGTGGTACATGGGAGAAAAGTGTGAAAGGAAAGGCACAACTCGAGAAAATACTGTAATAGCTGTTTCTTCAACCATAACTGTATTTGTTGTAATGCTTATTGTCACCATCACAACTGCAGTGTGCCTTAAAAAGAAATACAGACAAGGAAAGGAGAATAAGGACGGCCTGACTCTGGAAGAGGTAAGTATTTTGCCTCTTCCAACAAATATATGCACACMCACACACCTGCCTATATTCACTAAAAAGTAAACAACCAAATTCAGTAAGAAGTAAATGGGAAGATGTCACATTTTTGAAGCCTAAAGACCCCTGGCTTAGGGATTAAAGAGCTCCTCTAAGTGCTACTAATTTTCRGATACCAAAAAAACACCTAATTCAAAATCTGTTCTCCTCCTCCAGTTCCCTCCACTCTGCCCCAATGACAGCCTACATTGAGTGGTATAGTGTGAACAAAGGGGTTCATTTTCMATTCAAAATTAAACCATGTTTTCTGCTCACAGACTTGTATTTCATCTATTACTGCCTATTCTACTAAAGATCTCCCCTTAAAATACCTGGATTGACGGGGCTCAAAAATGCATCCCAGAATGTCAAAAYGAAAAGCAAATTAAAAAATAATTTTCCTTATTCAAATGCCATTTTTTAATTCAAGGCATGAAGTAGTCATGGAAGTCGTGACTTAGGGAAAGGTAAAAGAAAGCAGCAGGTTAAAACTGTCAAAATGACAGAAAAAAAAATCAGAAATGCCATGAACTGGATAGAAGCAACATTTGGGCAGATTTTCACAGGAAATTTCACACAGTCTGAGACACATGGACAATTACTTTAAATAGAGGCTTGTCTTGGAAATAGTAAGAGTGACATAAYTTAGAAGGACCCACAGGGCACAGGAGAAATTTTGTAAACAAAATGAAGAAAAAAGTCCTTCCAGGCAGCAGAGATCCGTTTTTAGTTTTGTACTAATACTCTTGGTGTGATGCCCCATTGAGTTGCAGTACCTCTGTGCTGTGTCACGTACTTGACACTGTTACTTTATGACCTTCCAATAAACAGTTTTGGTTCCTTTGCAAGTAATGCTCTTACATTATACACATATTTCTCTTCCCTACACACTTCTAAGATGTGGGTTTGGTTTTTTTTTTTTCCTATTTAGACTAAAACATCCTTCTGAAGATAATGCAAACAAGCATCAAAGACACAAGATGAAAATCACAGCAAAACCACAACTACGTCATCATTCTTTCTGTTCCTTTCATCTCAACCATCACGATAAAAGTTTGTAAAGTCTGGAAAATAATTCATCATCTGGATAAAGTACTGTGCTAAAGTCAGTGAAGTGTCTGACAGTGCTATGTACCATCATGCAATGGAGGAAAATGGAAATATGTTGTTTAACATGTCTATCCTGYCCTTCAACATGGAGAAAATGTGAAAACTGCATCCTGACTTTCAGCCAACACAGCAAAGTCTAAGTTTTCCATGTTACTATTGTACAGTTGTCTGTAATAAAGGGGAGCTGGACCCTGTATTCACAGGGCACCCAGCAGTTCTCAGTTCTGCTGCAGCTTTCAGTCAGTAGTGTGAGAGTTTGTGGAGTGTGGSAGTGTCTGGGTCATTAAGTTATTTGGTTGTGATCTACTCACTATAAAACAAGTAACAAGTAATGAGGAAAATGACAAATGAGCCTCACAGACACACAAACATTAATGAGGAAGTCACAACAGAGACMATAATGAGGATCCAGAATTCTTCAGCCGCTGATTGATGGTCCATTAGAGGAACTACTCGGGCAGAACCCTCAAGAATGTCAACCTGAACAATTATTAACTGATAGGAAGGGGGAAATATGATTAACATGAGTGTTGTGGAAAAGTTGAGGCTGCTTGAGATATGAGCTATCAGAAAAGGCTTCTAGATTTATGTAAAAATTACTATGGGGTGTTTAGGGGAAGGATTGAAAGATCCAAAGAAAAGTGGGGGAAGATGGGGCCAGTAACTGGAGAGACCTGCCTGCAAAAGAAATCTGTGTGCCAATGACCAGGGGAGACCACAGCTCCTASGACTCATGGATCTAGGCAGGAGCACAAGGAGGGACTTTCAGGGAAGGGTGTGTGTGCCAGGAACTGGAGGGACTGTGAGCCATAGAGCTTGTAGGTGTAAAGATCAGCAACTGGAGGGACTGGTGGGTGAGTTYTGTGTGTGTCCAGGTGCCAGCAGCTGGAGGACTCAGGTTGCGTGCTGGCRATTGGAGAGATCTCTGTGTGTTACTATTTCTTCAGTGAATTTAATCCTCTATGTGTGTGTGCATAATTCACTAGAAAACTGCAAGCTGGACTASCTGGTGAGTTAGAGGAAACATTTCCACATCTGGAGGACTCAAACATCACATTGTCCTGTCTGAGAAGCAGAAGGTGACTTGTGTACCACTGCCAGGACCCCCAGGAATGGATATTAGACAGGTTTAGAGGACATTCAAGGGGACTGAGCATATTTGGTTGTGTTTATGGGTGTGGAGAATGAGGGCACACTGTTTTTCACCAGAGAGCTTCCATTCTGATTTCTGGAGGGRAGGAAGAGGACAGGGCTGTGTGCCYTTCTGTGAGYTGGRGTAGCATGACAGAGGGGYTGTGCTGCCCAYGCTGCTCTGTGTGTGTGCAGCRGTCTGTCCAGGCAGCCACTTCARGGACCSTCTGTGTGTGAGTGTCTCAGATATCACCTTCCTGCCAGCCAGACCTGYRAGCAGGARGAGRAGCAGCGGCCWTATCCTTAGGACTGGGATGCAGAGATCTCCTGSGACCATTCCTGGGCTGGATGTGTTGGCCCAGTCCTGGCTCTGGGAGATTTGGTGCCTCCTTTAACACCCCTGCAAATAGGGCTGTGGTTCAGTAGGGTTTAGAGAAAACAAGTAAGCATGGAAATAAAAGGGCCAGAGGAAGCTCCCTCCCTGAGGACACTTTGCAGAGGGAGATGGCAGCCACCATGGGCACAAATCATCACATTGGTGGTGTTTTGGAGTGGGGCTGTGAGAGATGGGAGTGCCGGCGATGGAAATGTCAGGTCACAGCAGATGGCTGGTAGACTGGTATGGGAATGTGTTCACATTTAAAGGTCAGCAGCTACTTTGATTCCCTGGGATGGGTGTTGATGATCTGAATATYTGTCATGCAATTTACCCTGACTCTGGGCAAGAGCAGTTCAAATGCATGGAAATCTGATGAGGGAGCAAGTCTTCCTCCGAATGCTACTGCACAGCACAAAGCCACAAATGTGTATTCTTCTGTTTCGACGCTATATATGTAGTCCTTCTCTGATTCATATTCTCTGAAATGTAGTTGTATTTAAAGCATTCATGGCTGGATTTATTAGCTTTTGTTGGAATCCAAAGATTCATGAAAACAGCCAGACAAAATTAACAAAGATTTGTCAGAGCTAACAAACATCCTGGATAGGAAAATACTCTACTATAGCTGTCTTAAAATAACTTTCCTATTTCCACACGTCTTCATCAGCAGTTTTCATGCAAATAATCCTCCAAATGCGCCTTCAATTAAGATATGCACATAGATTTACATGGAGTTAAGAAGACACAAATGAGAGTGTTCATAAATTCAACCCTGGCTACAATCCTCAACATTATAAACTGTGAGCATTTTATAATTTCAAATGCGAAGTACCAGATTTGTGACTGTARAGATTATTTGTACTTTTGAAATCCAGATTACATGAGATATTTACCTGTACTTTCATCAGAAGAAAGCTTAATACACAGAGCAATATTACAATACAATTTCAATACATTGTGGAAGACACAAATTCCACAGGGAATATCCTGATATATTAAACTTTCATGGAAAAAAAATCTTAAGCTTCTGCTTATTAATTTCAAACAGGAATCAGTGAAGAGCATGATTTAAAACTGAATCTCCCAGTCAGTGAGTGTGAACAACTCACTTCCACAGAGCCAAAAGAGAGGTTTTTTATGTCCTTCACTGACCTAAAATTTTTTTTTTTAATTTTACAGTGAAGAAAAATTATTCAGGAAATGCAGCATGAGGTTCAATATTACACTTTATTGTTCATCACAGAAGTTGTGCCATTAGCTCAAGTTCCTGAACAAATWCATTTTTTCTTAAAAAGCTGTAGCACAAATGACTTAATGCTCTTAATTTTGGAGATACACATTTGATACATTTACAGATAATATAGATATTTATTCCAGGTCAGAYACTGGGTTGATTGGTTGGAGAACCATACCTGGGCTTGAAGCCTGGGTGTTTGCTTTGCTTTCCTGGAGCAGATTTATTCAGAGAAAGTTTTACCAAAAATCTTTTCTATAAAGATCTCTCTGTGAGATCACTGAGATACTGATGTGATAGTGTTAAATCTGCACCAATCCATTTATCTTTCCCATCYTTCCCACACTGTAGTGACTCTGGCTATCTTGCAACAAGGATTTACTCCACCCACATGCCTGCTCAGGCACATTCCGCTCTCCACGCACCAGGACAAGCATGTCCAGCCTGTCACTGGCCTCCCACGATGTGCAGGACACGGGCTTGGGCTGTGGCCATCGACCCCTTGGGTCACCTGCTCTGCTCCTGTTCCTCATTCAAGTGCAGATCTCTGCGTCTCTCCCAAGGACCCAGTCCTCAGTCAATGTTTTCTTCTCTGCTGTTCCTTTTCTGGGCTCCAGGCTTGCAGAGTTGTATCCAGAACTGTGAGCATGGCTCATTCCCCACTGCTGAGTCTATCAGGAGCCACAGCATGTGCTCAAAAATAAAGTAACTCCAATATTCAAGTCAGTGGCTCAGGTATGGAATAAGAAAGAAATAAAAAAGGTGGGTCACCAGTCTAGATACATCTTGGCCTTTCAAGAATCTCAGCACTGCAGAAAATCTTTTAGCCAAGCCACCTACTGTCTCTGTTAAACAGGRTATATACACAGCCTCCTGTTCCTGACACAGGCAAACCAACTCACTGCCATTTCCATCACACAAACACCAGCCCTGCTCAGTTTAGCTYCTGCACAAGTAGCAAATTACTGAGTCATAAAGTCTCAGCCTGGCTGGCACTGTGCTGTCTAAATGCAAAAAGGGACTGATCCCAGACACSTCCTATTTCAGCTGAGTGTGCCAGGTGTCCCGTGCCACCCACGCCAGGCACAGTCCCAGGGTGCAGGGCAGGAGTCATGACTTGTCATTTTCTTTAGGTGCAATTCAGAACAGAGACATWGCATTTTTCCTTTTTGGTTTCCCCACAGGTCTCCTTATCCACTGCTRTTAGAGCTCGGGGTCTTGTGCTAAGACACAGATGCCACCAGCTGAGCTACCTTTGGTTCTGATAAATAGGATYTTAATTCTCCTCTCTTCTGGCACTGCATTTTCTAGCTATCTTGGGAGTTGTAGTACAGAAAGTTATGTCTCAAAAAGAGAAAATAACCACCAATTAAAGTGCCTTTTCTRTAAAAATCAAATGCTGTTTCTCAACTCTRGAGTTACTGYTTAGAGAATTTTGTAGTATTTGATGCAGTAATGTCAAAATATCGGTGTTTTGCTCTGTTCAG